ACCCGCCCCAATGCTGAAGGATGCCCAGTTTTTTGTTATTTTTAAATTATACTTTGTATGCATTTATGGAGACAGCTGCTGCTGTTGTTGCTGCTGCTGCAGTGCAACATGTGTGCTGCAAGTTTTTGTTAACGTCAACGCTGTTTTTGTTGCTGTCTAATTTGGCACAGGTAGCTCAATTTTTTGCCCGCCTCACTAACTCGCCCACTTGTCCAAATAACCAAGTGTGTGCCGAATGTTTTTGTTGCCACGCCCACACACACATATAAGTGCAACAAGTTACTTACCAAACAAACAACTGACATTGCTCGAAAAGTGGAAAGCGGAAAGAGGAAGCTAACAGATACCTCTTGAGATACTCAACAAATGGTGTAGCACAATGTCAATTTTAGACTTGTTGCAAGTGATCTGAAAAGCGCAGTCCAACGAATCTTGAGAGCAGAATTAATACTTGACAGCTTTAATAAGTTGAAGACTGTCCTGTAATCAGTTTTATATTCTGATTATAATCATCATTATATATTCGCCACATTTGTAAGTGGATGACAAGTTTAGCTGACGTCTTCACTTGAAGTAATTTAATTTTCCTTGAATCAATATATTCCATCGAACTCCAGTTGGATTATTAAGGAATAAAAGCGAATAAAAATATTGTATGACTGATGTAAGACAATTTAAATTGAATAATAAATATAAGAAGAGCCCACATACAACATTTGTGAACATTTTCTATTAGGGACCTTAAGACTAAATAGCATGTAGCATACAACATTTTAGATTATATTTTTTATATCCTTTTAGATTGTCTTTTATTTTCTTTTCACGTCAGCAGATTGAGTACGGTCCACAAGAGTGTAGATAGCCGCTATTTCGTGTTGCATATGCCACCCGCTTAGGGAAATGTCTACTCCACTCTATTCGCTATTGCGTTGCGTACAGGGTATGTCAGACAGTAACTCCACTTCACATGCATGATGCAGGGAGAAAAACAAGAGAAAAAAAAATGTATGGCAAACTATTCACCTGCTTTCCGTTATTCGTTGTCCGCTGTCGCCTGAGCAAACACAACACAACCGACAACTACTAAACACACACGCAGAGTCGCAGAGTCGCACACACACACACACACACACACACGCAGACACGCAGACACTCAGACACACAGAGGCTCACTCACGCAAGGACAATGGCAGTCTAAAGGACGTGGCTAGAGACGAATTGTTTTCGGTTATTTCGGTTGCATGCAACATGTTGCGGAGCGAACGAGCTGCAACATGCCAGTTGCCCCGCAGCAACAAACTGCTGCGACTACCCGCCACATTATCAGCCAAAACGTAAACACAACAAACGAACAGCCAGCCAAGCAACCAATAGCAACAACAACTAAGCAGCAGCAGCAGCAGCAGCAGCAGCAATGGCAGCAGCAGCAGCAATGGCAGCAGCAGCAGCAGCAATGGCAGCAGCAGCAGCAGTGGCGGCAGCAGCAGCAGTGGCAGAAACTAAGTATCCATATCCGCAGCTTTGTTGAGTTTCAGCTCAGTTAGATAGAGATACAGATAGACAGAGAGACGAGCTGACGGACAGACGGGCGGACAGACACGCGATGGCAACGCTCGCAAACGTTGCTGTTGCTTTTGCTTTTGCTGTTGCTGTTGCTGTTGCTGCCTCACCTCTCCTTGCCCCTGGGGCGTTCGCTTGTAATTATAATATTTCAACCCAAATGTTGCCGCCGGCCATGCGCCAATGATGGATTTCAACTCTCTGCCCCGCACTCTGCCACCATGCCATATAATATACCATACTACACACACACACACACATTTGAACAGACATTCCCAGCTGGTTTTTGTTGGTCTTAGTTGTGGCATCGAGGTGCGCCTTCTCTGGGGTTCCGGGGTTGCTTGCTGCTGCCGCTGTGCAATTTGTGGCCAAGGGGCAAAACGGATTGGCCGCCGGCCATACATGTGAATAAAATTACATTCACTATTTTATGTGGCACATGCATAGATACATACATACATACACACATACATACATACATATACATATTTATAATTGTATATTAAATATATCTGTCTATATATAAATTTATGTATACGGGGCATTTGTCTTTTCTATACTTGCACAAGTTTTACTTTGTCTCCGTATCGGTCGCAGTATAATTGCGAAGAAAAATATAGCCAGACATTTGTAGATAAAAATATATCGCGTTGTTATGGACAACATAATTGAATTGCTGCTGCTGCTCATCACTGGCAACGGCAATAACCACATTAGATCATAGTTGGACTCACACAACAACAACAACAACAACAGCAACAACAGCAATCTTTGACCGCTGGCAATAACTGACAGAAAAGGGTAAAAGATGCTGCCACTCGCAAGCGACCAAGTTATGTTCTGCAAAATGTGATAGGTGGGGAGTTGCCTTAGCTCTCCTCCGAGCTGCTAAAGACCCCGACAGACTCAGTACACAGTTTCCATTTCCCAGTTCTTTGCTCTCAGCTCCCAACTCATCTCGTTCGCAGCTGAACATTAATCAGTCAAATAACCAAATAACTTGCGGACCCGGCTAATAGAGACATAGACACGGCCAGTTGGGAGTGCGTGTAAATGAGCTGAAGTCAATTTAAAGCAGCTAACTGATAGTTATGTCTAGACAGCTGTATTAATTAAACAGACAAACATATTATGCTATTTCACTTATATGACAATCGCTCAACGGCTCAAAACATAGCAGCGCAAAATACAAAAGTATAATAAAAGAAATCGAAATATTGAATAATAAATGTATGTCAAAGTTAAACAAACATAACTGATTCATAATAAATACGAAATAATTCTCAAGTATTTTCAAAAGTGCCAATGTCTCCTCTTTTAAAAATGGCTTTTGAATTTATTCGTCAGCGAATTACTTTTCGATGCAAAGATTTTGATTTCTTGAGAACCAACCTATAAACTTTATTATACTAAGCGTTTTCAAGACAGATCGTAGAGTAATTCATCTTTGAAAAATGACTTTTGAGTTTATTTATATTTGAGTTCGTCAGAGAATTACTTTACTTTTCTTGAGAACTATCCGCGAGCGCACACACAGCTCGAGGAGTGCGACAAGTGAGCGGCATTAAGCCCATTATAATCCATATACAAATGAGTGTAACAGGCGTATTTACAGGCGTATCCGTGCGCATATATGGTTATTACGAGCACGGCTTATGCATATATACACATATGTGCATATGGTGTAATTAAATTGACATTAATTAAGCTGACACATCCTGCAGCTTCAGTGGTTGCTGTCGCTGCGGTCGCTGTGCTCAAGTGCTGCTCATTAAACAATTAAGGGATAATTATCGACGGCGTTGCCTTTTTGCAATTTTCATGCGCAAAGTGTTAAAATCACTTAATAGGCAACCAAGGACGAACTGGATGTCCACACTGTGTCCAGGATGTCCAGGCAGACGCCCCATTCATCATTGCCGCCCCTTTGTGGCCATATGGCCACAGAGTTGCTCTCTCATTATTTTCACCTGTGTGCAACGCTCCACAGTCTGTGTGTGTGTGTGTGTGTGTGTGTGTGTGTGCGTGCTTGTGTTGCACATGGCTGTTTGTTTTATTGTCGCGTTTAACGGCAAACTGCTGAACAGCGGCAGCTGCAGCTGCAGACATACATATTCACATGAATATATGATAACGCCGTGGAGAGTTGTCTGTAATGTTATGCCAACACCAACACTAACACCAACAACGGCAAACACTATTGTGGACTGCGGCTGACTCGATGCAACATAAGCTCACATTAATGCAGTTATATATTACACGAACCAACACTTTGGCAGACATAAACCAAACAGCAGCCAAAGAGCTGCCAACAGTCGAGCTGCTGTCGATTCAGTCAGTAAGTCAGTCAGTCAGTCAGTCAGTCAGTCAGTTGGTAAAGCAATTTGCAGACATGTGTTTTACACACACTGCCACACAAACTCACCCACACTGCCACTCGCAAACAGTCAAGTTTTTGCACACGCCGTTGCACATGCGGAGTGAAAATTCACACGCCGAAAAAAAGGTGCCAATGCATTTTAGGCACCTGTCAACGACCAACAGCAAAATGAAAAATCAAAAGAAAAACAAAGAAAATCAAAATAACTGCTGTCTTTGGCATACCGAAGATTACATACCCTTGCATAATTAGTTGGATTTTAATATATCCTGAACCCAAAAGAGGACTCAGTTTTACAAATGCTCATAAAACAAATTGAAAATTGGCAGAATTTGGCACAAAGAGTAAGTCACCTTATGATTTAGTAAGCATATTTTTAAAGGTATATTTAATGGTATTTCTCCAAAAACCAAAGTTTTTCTCTTCTTAATGCTTGGGTAGACTTTCCTAAAAGGTAAAAAGAATAATTAAGCACATAGAATTCAAAATTAGAAGTTGAATTTTAAGTTGACTCTCGACACTTTATTACTATTTTGTGAAATTCAGAAAAGATTTATTCTTACAATATGAGTTTGCATTGCTGAAGAATTACACAGAAAAAACAAATTATTTTTAAGTTTATTTTTCGTATATTTAGAAATTTTTCCTCAAGTATTTCAAAATGCTTTTGCTTTCTTAAATCTGCGAGACAATATTCCGTAGACAGACACGACTTTTCTATTTATGCGAATGTAGTATTTATCAATATATCTTCTTCGTTTCGATTGGCGCTCTTAATGCGTTTCAAATTTCTTGAGAAAACTAGTATACCCTCTGCGCGAGTAAAAAATACAGCAAAAAGTGCAAAAAAAGCAAAAACGTGTGAAAAAAGTTTAAAGTTTTACAATTAAACAGTAGCTAACCTAACTAAAGCGTTAAGTGTGCTGAGAAGTGACCCAAAATTGGAATGGGAACAAACTGAAGACAACAAATTGAAATTTTCAAAAGTATGCCTCTCTTTTCACATCTTACAAATGCCATAACAAGTCAAATGAAATGAAACAATTCTGTGTTTTGTTTAAATCATGTTGTTTCTGATATTTATCCGACTGCTATTTTATACTGCTGCAGCAGATCCATTAATGCTGGAGAATCGTACGTTTGACCTGCTATCAGACCATAAATGTGTAATTGATTGCAACGGCGTCTTCAAGTGTCATGATGATGATATTCACTGTCCCTCTTTGCAAAAACACTTTGATCTGCACGATGATGAGAACACTGATATAAGATCACTCTTAATCTATGGCCATAATGGATTACGGAATCGTTTAGCCCTCAAACTGAATATCTGTGACATGCTGCACGTGTCCTGGGACAGTAATCTAGCCGAGCTCGCCAATCGTCATCACAGACACTGTATGCGACGAGTGACTTGCGAAGCTGCAAGAAATCACTTGAATAAAGCAGAAGATCGGAAGATTGGACAGAGCAAGAATGGCAACCTGGCACAAAGCAGTTACTTTCTGAAGAACATTTATGCCACCAATTTCATAGAGTATGCGGTGGGCAGCTGGTACGAGTCGCACACTCAACTGGAGTACCCCACGAAGACCAAATACCACAAGAACACTTATTACAAGCTGATTGGCATCAATACCTTTACACATATCATCAAGCCGCAGATGCATCGATTGGGCTGCTCCTATTCCCGGTGAGTGAGAGCTGCTGCTTCCTCGATATTTCTGATTTCTTTATATGTTAACACAGGTTTGATGATGGTCTTAGCTTGATTTGTTATTACTTTCCCTTCGGTTATAAGAACAACATGATTTTGCTGCGACAGAAACCCAAGGAATATCAATGCCCGTATAACTTTCCGCTTTTAGATCCGGTTTTCAAAGGACTCTGCAAATATACCGAGTATTTAAACTGAACAACTAACTACCGTTAAAGAGACCCCACTTATCCAATTAAATGAGTGTAAAGAAATTGTCCTGAAACAGTTTGACAAATATGTGTTGGCCGGGGGTATCAGTTGGTCATGGGGTGATTATATACCTGTATATAAACATGGGTAATGCGCCCATCTCCTGCACACCTCAGCAGGCTGGTCAGAGCCACATGACCCTTATCATATCTGGCCCGAATAACCACATCCCAAAGCGCACACTTTCGCCTCAAAGCAAATACTACAAGCGGGTAAGAAAACAATAACATATCTACTCGACTTAAAGACACCCCTTAAAAAGCACTTGACATTTTCATACTTAAAAAAAGTGAAAATATATTACTTAAATGTTATTATTTTGTGATTGAAAACATTTAACATTTTTGAATTGCGGAATGGCAATTAATGTTCCAATCCAATTGACAGATATTCTGTGCCGTACAGATTTCAATAATCGACTTTCGATATCAACTTTTAAAAATGTTGCAGACCCCGTTGAGTGTGCTCAGTGCTGGGTATGCAAAAGCTGCATAAATTCCTTTTTTCTGGTTTGTGGCTTGTGGTTGGCTTTTGTGGTTAGCTGGTCTGATGATGCTGGTGGTGCTGTGGTTGCTCCATCGCCATCTCCATCTCCATCTCCGACTTCCACTCCGACTCGGACTGTGGCTACAGCTTTGGCTTTGGCTTTGGCTTTGGCTCTGGCACTGCCTCATAAACGGAGTGGCAGCGGCGTAACTGCCCCGCAGGTGTAAAACTTGTTGGTGTATTACTATTATGTTGTTGTTGTTGTTGTTGGTGTTGCACACTTTTCAAAACTGCCTGTCAATGTGTGACATTTCATATTTAAGTTATAATCTGCATGTATTACTTTTGGGATCACATACACACAGCGAACAACGAACAACGAACAACGAACAGTGAACAGCGAACGGGAACGGGAACGAGAGGAAAGTAAAGAGATGTGGAGACGCAGGCATGTATAAATTTAATGGTATACAAAATTAACTTGAGGCTAATTTTCAATAAAACTGACAGCTATGTTATATGTATGCGCACACACACACACACACACACACACATATATATATCGAAGGTGTAAGTGTGTGTATTCTTTTGTGCCTGACGTGCTGCCAATTGAAATGGAAATGAGTGAAATACAAAAACAAACACGCACACACAAATAACATTATGTGCTTATGCATGTTTATGTATGTGTGTATGTGTGTATGTATGTCAATGTCCGCTTTATAAATTAAACAAAAAGTTAATAAACAGCTGCAAGCAATAAAGTTGCAATTAATAACGGTGCTCTTCCTCCCCCTCCCTTTTATTCCTTTCATTCGATTGTCTTTTGTTTCAAACAGTAAACCCACACAAAAACAGTTATAAGAGAGCAAATCTCTCTCTCTCTCTCTCTCGCTCACTCAATCATTCCAACTGCAGTCCTAGTCTGTCAGTTGCCATCAAACATGCTCCTCCATACATCAAACCAGTTTCATGTCTTATCACTGCAAACGCATCTAAATTATCACGAATGCCGGCAGCAGCAGCAGCAGCTGAGCTGAAGCAGAGCCAGAGCATAAGAGCGCACATACATACATATGTAAACACAACAAAGTTGCCTCTCTTCCTCTTACGCTGCTTGCGATTCATCCTCCTCCTTTTCAATGTTGTCCGCACGAACATGTTGCGAGCCAGCCTCGGGCCATAGTCGAACTGGCTGCAGCTCGAGCGCTCTGAGTTCGGTTCGGTCTGATTTGGGGCTCTGTCTGCTGTTCGCTGCTGCTGCTGTTGTTCCTGCCTCTACCCGTGCCACTGCCTCGTGTCTCTCCTGCTGCTCCTTGGCCTAGGGCTATTCGCTTGTAATTATAATATTTCATCCCAAAAGTAGCTGCCGGGCATCAGCGTCAGTTTCGTTTGCGGCTTGTTGCAGGCTGAAGCACAGCGCAGGGTGCGACAGGGGGGGCAACAGGAGGACACCAGAGCAGAGTAGAGCCAAGTAGAACCGAGCAGAGCAACAATGCAGCCACAACGCCAACAATGATGAATTTTTGAACTTGGCGTGTGGGTTACTCGTACAGTAATGTCTGCCACATAAACGCCACAACCCAACGAGAGACAAGCAACAACAACAGCAACAACAAATCCACCTCGCTGCCACAGACTGTGGTCTGTTCTGCTTTCTGTTGTGGCCTTCGCCGCATGTCCTCAAGCGCTGCGTAGTGCTTGATTGTATGCATTGCCTGCGATACCTGTTATATGGCTGCTATATAAAAAAAGAAATATATATATATATATATATATAAACTTACAGAAAAGAGGATTTCATTCTTATGCTGTTTACATAGAAATGTGGCTCAAATTAAATAGTGCCGAACAGTGAACCGGCCTCGTTATTTATGGACAATAAATTAGCCATCAAAAACGGCGCAAAGCAGCGAAGCGAAGCGCTCGAAGGCGCCTAAAAATGTGGCTGACACATGAAAATGCAATTCCAAATGGCAAACACACACAAAATGCTATTTAAGTGCATTGCAAATCTTTGACATGTGCAACCTGCCACAGCGTGGCCAACTATGAGCCCATGGGAGGGCGGGGGGTGGCAGCCAAGGTGTGGTTCATTTTGTGATAAATTGAGCCGCTAGCCGGCAGCCAAAATCATATTCATATTGCTAAAATATTGCTTACCTCTTTGTGCTGCTGCTGCTGCTGTTGCTGCTGTTGCTGCTTGAATGAATGTGTCTGTAGATTTCGTAGTTTTGTAGATGCAACTCGAATTACCGCATCGTTTGCGGCGACATTTAATTAAAATTTTCTCTTAGGCAAATGTCGTGCATATCTAGTTTTGGTTTTGGCCAAAACTTTTTGTTTTTTTTTTGTTTTGCTCGGGACGCAGTTATCAGTTTGGCAATTTAGTGGCTTGAAGATAAGTCGCAGTGCACTTAATACCAACTCAGGGAAATGGCCATTAAAACGACGCTTAATGACCAAAATGGCAATTGTTATTCGTTGTTATTTGTTGCTGCCACAGTGGCTGCTTCTCGTGCTGCTGCTGCTGCTGCTGCTCTTATCAGTGCTGGCTGCTCATAATGGCTGCAAATGCTGAATGAAAAGCTGACAGCAGCAGTAGCAGCAGCAACAATAAGAACAATAATAATAACATGCGGCATACCATGTCGCATTGTGCGCTCTGTGCCAATAATATAACACATACGCCGCATTGGTAGCAGCAACAACAACAGCAGCAGCAACAGCAGCAGCAGCAGCAGGAGCAGCAGCAACAGCAGCAACAGCAAACTCCAGCAACAACCGCAACGTTTAATTTCCCGTTTGCTGCTTTTGTTTAATGCCGAACGTCGCATTGAAGTGTTTTTCCAGCCCCACCCACTGCGCCTAGCCACGAATCTAAAGCAAACGGAATAACGGAAGCCAAACCGGCGTTTCCGTGCACCATTATTTGCCAAGATGCTGCACCATAATGTTTGAGGCGCCTCTGGGACAGACAGACCGTTCACTACCCTAGAAAAAGTATAAATTATAAAATACCTGAGAAGCAACATTTTAATAAGTAGTTTTAAATTAAATCTAATTACTTTTATTTATATAATAAAGATAAAAATATTAAAGAAATGAAGTGATGTATTAAATGTATTTAAGTAGCATTTGTCAAATTAAAAAATAAATATAAGATTATTCCCTGGGCAATAAATAGCAGGGTAGCTACTAGCCTAGTCTAGTACATTTTTTTAAAAATAATAATTCAACTTGATGCTAAACGTTAAACAATTATTTTTTGCACTCCAAATACCCTTTAAAATGTATACAAAAAGATAACTGCAAGTAATCTTAAACTGAATACTTTCAGTCAACAAAAAGTGATATATATTGTATTGTTGGGCTTGCTTTAGAATACGAATACGAACGCATTAGTAATTTTCTATTTTCTATGCAATTATGTGCACCATTGAGCAATCACAGACGAGGCTAACGTTTAGACACAATTTAATTAACACACACAAGCACACACACACACACACGCACACACACACACACACACACACACCAAACAAAAGTGAGGTTAAATGCACAACAAACGAATTCACTGTGTGTACGTGTGCATTGAATTTGAAAGTGGCATTCATGCAGAAATTATGCAACTGTCAGTTGCACAACAAAATCAAATTGCTTGTTGTGCTTCTCTGCTGCGCGAGTGTGTGTGTGTGTGTGTACGCTAAATAGTTGCCGCACCCAGAAATATATATAATATATTTATACAAAAATATGTATGTATCATTTTTGGAGCAAGTTTAAAGACAATTAAAGAAAGCCAGCGACTCAAAGTCAAAGTAGAAGTCAGTCAGCTGCAGCTGCAGCTGCTGTTGCCGGTGGCACGCACATTTTAGCCTGAAGTAGCTAGGGGCAATGACAAGGCAACGGCTAAGCAGCTACAAAAACAACAGCAGCAGCAGCATCAGCAGAACCAGCGAAAAAAGGGAAGCAGCAGCGGCGGCAACAACAACAAGTGCATTTAGTTGCGCCGCACGAAATAGCCGGCAGCAACACACAGAATAGTCGCACACACACAGACACACATACTTGTATATATACACACAGATATAGAGACAGTCGCTTTCTATATATACAAAGTCTTATATACAGTCCCTCCCCCACCTCCCTCTGTCCATGTTAGTGCTGGCAGGCTTGAAGGAGTTGCGGATGCTGGCAACGGGCGTTGACTGACTGTACGGGCGAAAAAGCGTCGCTGCGTGAAAAACTCGACAGCCGGCGGCGCAAACGCCGCTGCGAAGCCGTACGCTTCGGTTTGCTAATGTTGCCCCAGGACCTTACCGCTTTGATGAGCGAGCAGTGCGCAGCGGACAGCCGAAGGACGAGGCAAGGACAATGTGGCAGGAGGCGAGATCGCACAAGCAAGGGACACTCTCGGGAGGGTTTGCTACTAGCAATGTGTATATATGTGTGTGTGTGTGTGTGTGTGGGTATGTGTGTGTGCGACCTGTTAGTGGGCATGGCAAATTGCCTGCGGTTTTGCGCTTGCGCAGCTCTAAGGTAGGCAAGAACGACGACAACAACAACAGCAACGGCAGCAGCAGCAGCAGCAACATTAAAGGCCACTGGCCATGTGGCAACATTTCAATCTCCGCTCTGTTATTTGCCAACTAAATCCCCAAAGGGCTAAATTATATTATTTCTGAGTTTGGCGAACTTAATAAATATAATTATATGCCTAAGATACATCAATATATATAGTATAGTATATAAATAATACCTATTGAATTCAATTTTCTGAGAGTTTCAAGTTTCAAGTATTATCAGTAAATTTCTTCAATTTCAAGGGTGTACAAAATAATGTATAACAAAATTTAATCATAACTCAAATTCAAAATAATAGAGTTGATTATAGCATTAAGAGTTTTATATTAGATACTCTGAAAACTAATAAAAACAGAACTGAATTTCTTAAATTTCAAGAGTATATGAATTAATATGTCCTAAAATTTAACCTTATTACAAATTCATTCTAGGCAGGCTGACCTTTTTAACCATTTAAGTAATGACAGTAAACTGAGTTTTTAGTATTTATTTTTAATTTTTCAAAGAAAAGAAAAGCGTTATCTGAAAAGAATGTGGAAGGTGGCACAGTAAGTAAAATGTATATGGACAGCTAGGAGATATACTACAATATATATATTTGATAGTAAGCATACAAATCGATCTGGGGCCCTTCCTGATGTAACAGAGCTGTACAGAAATGATAAATTTGTGACCGACTCGTAAGTCAATCGTAGTGAAAATACTGAATATCTCAGCTAATGTCCAGTTGCAAAACAGACTGTGCTCAGTATGTGTAAAATCTGTTAAAGTCACTGCGGATGGACAGATAAAGACCAAAACTGTAGGCAACATCGGCGATCGTCATTTGCGGGCTGATCTGAACTTACCAGGATTGCAGGAGCGTTGCGCCGTCTCAGCCAACAATGATCTATTTAGGTTGTCAAAGCTATTGGACGAAAATGAACCACAACAAATTGAAAATCGGCAAAAGCAACCCTCGACCAGAATTCCACACAAGGATTGCATGCTGGCAAAACAGGCCAATACCTTTCCCAAGCAGCCAACAATTAAGCTACAGAAATCAGGAGTACATGATCCAAAACAAATTCGGACTTTTCAAAGAAAGCCAAAGAAAACGAAACAGAAAAAATGTTACTTAAATAAAGACGAAAACTCCTCAGAAGAAGATTGCTATGAAACAGCTGAATCAGACCAGCAACCAGATGAGGCAAGTTTCTGCTCTGTCATTTGACTTTCACTAAAATAAGTAGTACCCTAGTTAAAATATTACTTTAATACTTGTTATTTATTCTTTTCGTTTAGAGGCCACCAGCAACAAGCTTGGTGCAGCCAATTGTGCATCACCAAAGGGAAAATCCGCACGTTGACAATGCGAGGCCAGCAATGTTGTGCCACAATTGCTGCCAGAAGCACATTAAAATCCATGGGATGGCTCAAAAAGTAATGCGATTTGGTAAATCTCATGTGTCGTACTTAAGCTTGGCTGTATTATTGGGTTATCATTTGGTGTTTTGCCTGTGCACATTTGCATTTCTCAGCTATTTGCTGTGCTATGATGTCATCGAATATGTCAATGAGGAGCGGCGCTATTTGGTTAAAATGAAATCGGCTGGTGTTTTAGCCAAATGTTTTTACTACATCATGCGACTGTTAAAGTTGCCAATATTTTAATTGGCAATTGCCAGTGTTCTGTTGTTCATTTATGCACACAATCAATTTATTTATTGTAAAATATGTGCAAATTGATATATTTTAGTTATAAGTGCTAAAATCTAGTTGCACTCGAACGCGTCCATTTCGCCACAAAACATACCTCATTTGCGACCAACTCCCACCGTTCGGCGCTTGACCAAATGAAAAACAAACAGTTCGCTTTTGTTGTTATCCCAAATAACACTAAAAACTACAGCGAGAATAACAACAACGACGACGACACCGAAAATACACCGAAATTGTAAAGTGTTAAAAATAATAAATTATTTCTGTTATTCTAAATGGTATTAGAGAGCGACCATGCATAAATTTAAACTGCGCGAGTGTTAGAAAAATATTAGCGCTATCGCAATGCTGACCAATTTTGGCCACCGAACCGAAATTCGAATCCTAATGCAAACATCAAAGCGATTACTGAAAGGACCCCAAAATTCGATTTATGTATGTGGCATTTGAATAGGTACCCAAAACAGAATTTTAACAACTCTCCAATGAATTCCTTTCAATTGTAGCTTATTTGAAATAAATCGATAAAATAAAATAACATTGCAAAAGTACTTTTTTTACTCATTAATTAATTTTTGTGAAGTTCACATTTAGAGTCCGATTTTATATCAGTGTTTCAGTTATTTCTCAGTTAACCAACCGATATTCTGTAACGGGCAAGCTATAAATACAACATTATTTTAACTCTTTGGGATAAGGGCATAACGACTTATAGATGTGTCATGGCCTACGGGGGCTTAATCCGTTTGCCTAAGGCTCGCAGCAGTTTATACTTGTGTGTGTATGGCACAATTTATATAATTTGAGCCTATTTGAGGTGATGGGTCTGTGGTGGCCATAAATCAAGGTTACTTTCACATTGGCCATAAATACACGTAGGCTAACGATTGGCAACAAGAAGTCAGGAACAGACCGCCAGAGACTCCCACAACTGTTGGCCAACATCGAACTTGTTCGTGCAGTTCTTGGCTTCGACTCAGGCTAGAAGCGTGCGTGACTACGTGTGTGTGTGTGCCTGTGTGTATGTGTGTGTGTATTGTTATCACAACAACAGCATCTAAATTATCATGGCCAAAAGGCAAACGCAGCTACAGCAACAGCAACAGCTTACAACGTAAACAGAACACGACGAACAATGCGACTCGCAGACGCCAAACACGAAACATTTTTTACTAATAAATCGCCGCCAGGGAATTTCCCATTGCTCTGTTCCTCATCGTAATACATATTTCACATGAAATGCAGCCGGTGGCAACATGAGGGCTAAATAAAACTGAATAAAAAATAAAAATCAAACACAGAGCACATTTCCTCTGCAACGAAAGCTGATCCAAAAGTTAACTCTTTGCTTTTCATTTGCTTAGCCCAAGATTGTGATTTCTTATTCAACCTATTGGCATCTGAAGTTCTTACAATCCAAAATGTTTACAAAAGACAGCTTTACACATATCTTCAGTTTCATGTTCATGTTTGAAGATCTTTATTTTATACTTGAAATACATTTCGCCTACTCTATATAATACATTAACTGAAGCTTTTAGGTTTTTAGTATTAACTTGGATACCTTATTTTTTTATCAAAGTAGTCAATAAGTGTACTTTTATACAATACATTTAAAGTTTAGCTTTTGGTAGTTTGGCGTCCTCAAACATCTCGCTAGCTACATTTCTCAGCAGTTTCCCATTGAAGTTGACTGGAATTCTATTCACAAATCGAACACCTGCATGCAGCTGTTTGTAGTGCACAGAAATGCGCTTTGCCACATGATTGATGACCTGCTGTTCAGTTAGGTGACAACCTGCTTTCCTGACGATTAAAGCACCAGCTGCATCTCCATAAAACTTATCCTTAATGCCAACAACACACACTTGCTGCACAGCTGGCAACTCAATGATGATCTTCTCAATTTCGTTGGGTGTATAATGCATAGACTTGTACTTTAACAAATCCTTTTTACGATCAATCAAATACAGCTGATTGTCGTTATCAAAATAGCCCAAGTCACCCATATGGAACCAGCCATCAGAATCGAGTGTTTGTGCTGTTTGTTCCGGATTGCCATAGTAACCGTTCCAGTTTTGGGTCGTCTTGACGAGTATTTCGCCAATCTCATTGTGGTTAAGATAAACGCCCTGTTCACTCACAATACGAGCACTTATGCCCGGCAGCAAAGCGCCAACCAAATTCTCCATTTCAGCATTTAGGCATAACGATATGCCATCGGTTTCAGTTGTACCGTAAACACACACAAAGATTGTAGATTCGAGTACTCGTTTAGCGGAGTGGACAACGCCCGGAGAGACCCAGCCCCCGGAATACTGTACGAACTGCAAACTCGACAGATTCTCTGTGGTGGCCAGTGGACTGGCGAAGAGCTCATTAAATTGCCAGTGCGATAGATAACAGTAGGTCACCTTCCATTTCTTTATAATCTCCACAGTTAGCTGCGTAGTAATTGGCTGGCTACTGACAATGCGTGCAGCTCCATTCAGAATGCTACTCAGCAGACACTTGATAGCTGTCAACCAATCCAAGCTGGCTGTGGTGTAGACAACATCGTTAATGCCGCTGGTGCTGTAGTTGAAAAGAATATCCAGCAATCAATAGCAAAGCAAAGCAAACCTTTATCAAATAGCAATAGACTCACGGTGATATTAACAACAATTGCGAATTGGTTAAGGTGACAGCTTTTGGCAGACCTGTTGTGCCCGATGAACAGACGATGGCCATTGTTTGATCGCCACCATGCACCAATTTACAAGGTCTATAAATTGGAAGCTTAAAACTAATTAGATTCTTCAAGATAACTCACTCTACTTACACATAGCTATTTTCCGTGTTTGTTGCTTTCAATAGCTCCTCAATTCTGAGCACATTCACAATATGATCACTCAGCGTTATAATCCTTGGTTTCCAGTCTTTAGTTAACGTTTTCATCAGCTCGTAATTGCAACCATCACAAAATATTAGCTTTGGCTTTGTTATCCCATATAGAGCAGCAATAGTTGATGTTTCGAGCAACGGATTGACGGCATGAACGGGTGTCGTATTGAAAAAACATGCAAGTAGCACATCAGTTACATGGATGTCACTTTTGGCTATGATTCCCACAATGTCCTCGTGGCTCAGTCCTTCAGCCTTTAGGAATTGCGCAATGCGTATGGCTGCAGTCAAAGTTTCCGCATTGGTAAGGACTTTACCATTATCATGTGATGTCTGTGGCAAATAGATTCCTTAAGAAATACACTGGATGAAATACTTCGAGTTCTTTACCTGACATATATTTGTGGGATCTGCCTTAAGCGCTTGATATACAACTTCTCCTATGGATGTTGTGGCATCGGCAAACAGCACATTTTCGGGACCGTACCACAGTTTCTGCTGTTCATTGTAATATGTGTCGATTAATGACATTTTACTGAACTTCATTTACCAGCATTTGAAAAGCAACTAAATTCGCTTATCAAATCGAGCAGGTACTATTATTGTTGCTTGAATTATTTAGATTAGAAACTGATCGGTGATAACACTTGTATAGATAATGATAGGTAATCCGTTCAGCAAGTCAAGGTCATTTCGAATTTGCCAAGTATAAATAATTAAATATAAATAGAATCGCTATTTCATGGGTAGGTCAAAAACCTTATACAATAAAATAAAATAATATACTTACACAATTCTAGTAAATATATTAAATATATATAAATAAATATTAGTAAAATATCCAAGATCGAGATTTTTAACTAGACTACACAGTTTGAATACCTATAAAATTCAAATAACTTTCAAAAATTGTCAATGGATTCAAGCAACTCTAAATTCTATAAATATTGATATCAATTCGAATTATGTGTCGAGGATACACATCGTGGGATTAGCTTTATTTTCAACGCAGGCTTCAACATTGGATGCAAGCCGAGGTCAACTGTAGAAAACGCAGACGCAGAGAGTTTGATGTGCTCGAAGGGCTCAATTGAACTTAAGGGCATTCCCATGCACTCAAATACTACAGACACCAATACACCCACATGCGGCTAAATACACACACATATGAAATGTGGGAACTTTTTGGCTCTTAATCAGTTTGCCTCGAAGACAAAACCACATCGCACACAACAAACACACACACACACACTCACACACACACTGATAAATTGAAACCTATCTTTGGTATTTTGTTTTTCTTTGAAGCAACAATGCGCCAACAATGAGCCTGGGGCTATCCTTAGTACGGACTACGACGCTCATTTATTTCACAGTCGTGGACAAGATAATCGCCAATGTCCGCTTAGAGGTAGACGAAGACGATGTCGACGTCGACGACGACGACGACGACGACGACGACGAAAATGTTTAGGCCCAATACCGAATGCTATATACAAGTATACTTACGATTATATGTATATGGACTGCAGCCAAAGTCGTTTCTCGACTCATTTGTTGTGGCTTTAGGAAATGTATTTCAATAATTTTCACACGAAAATCAGTTGAATGAAGTCGTTGCTGGTTTTCTTCTTTTTTTTCTTTTGCTCTAGCGTTAAGTCATTTGTATGTCTTTTAAGTCTTAATTTGTCTAGTGGCACCACAAAAAATATTGGTTGCCAGTTGCCAGCTGACCGGCAGCTGGCCAAGCAAGTAAGCGAGCCATATTTGCTGGGCCATCAGTCAGAGCTCAACTAGATTCAGCGCAGTAGCAACTGGAAGTCAAGTCAAACTGGCAGCAGGCACATGCAACTGGCTTACACACGCACACTCTATAAACACAGACACACACACAGACCAACACATAAAGCCTGCTAGTTGAGAGACAAGGGAAAAAGCGGAACTGTCACAGCATCATCAGAGAATTGTGTGGCGCTGCCACCTTTGCCTCGGCTGGGTTTCCAGCTTCAGATTCAGATTCAGTTTCTGTTTCAGTTTCTGTTTCAGCTTCATTTGGGTATCATCGTTGTCATGGGCAACGAACGACGTTGTTGAGGCGCTGCTCGGGCACCTCTGGGGCCTGTTTCGCTTGTAATTATAATATTCCAGCCAACCCAAAATGTTGCCCCGGGCCAAGCAGCAGCAGCAGCCACAACGGCCAAGGCAGGAAGATGAAGCGGCGTCGTCATCGTCGTCGTCGTCGTCGTCATTCGGGTCCGCAGCCACACGGAACTTTTGTTGTTGTTATTGTTGCTGTAGAACGTAGCTGTGCCGCATGCAACACGATGTCGCCTGAAGACTTTGCGGATGACCTCGAGCGCCACAAATGCTGATTACGTAGACGCTCCCTTCTCCATTTCCTCGGCGAGACAGCAACAACAACAGCCGCAAAAAAAGCAAACCACTCACGAAACTTGTGTACCCTTTCTTAACTGCATACTCATATCAAGTGAAATATTGAAGGTGATAAAGCAGCGAATAATAACTGTGGTATCTGTCCGAGTAAATGTGATAAATGACAAGTCATTAGTAAACAAGATACAATGCCAAAACGAATTAATTATACATGTATACTGACTGTCTCTCCCTATATATATATATATATATAAATACATTAATTTGCAACTTGTCTTCAACTTTCTATATCTGAGCGAAAGCGTGTAAATTACTGCCATACTTTTGATTCCAATTGCATAGTTATGGATTATGGCATAGGTGACATGCTCGCCGATATCGCCAGCTGCCCTTATTACAAACAAGAGCTGGCTGATATGGTGCCCTATGGGTACATATGGGTTGCACTCTGTAGGTGTATATATATATGTATATATATATAAAGAGGGCGAGCAAACTTTTTTTTTGTGTTGTGCCACCCGCCAGCTTTAGCTGTTTTTGTTGTTGATGTTGATGTTGTCTCGTCCATATTTGCTCTGGCAAGCTCTACATAGGTGTGTGTGTGCGGGTGTGCGGGTGTGTGTGTGTGTGTGTGGGAGGACGGCCTTTGCGTGTCCTTGTGGCTGGTTGGCCATTTACATAGCTTGAGGTATTTCAATTTATTTCATTGTGCTTTTCATATTATTGTATTTGCAATTTTGATTGCAGTTGCCTTTTGACCACTGGCAACATAGACGCGAATCCCGATCCATATGCAAAAATATCAAAAGCATCCACACTATCCCCCCTTTGACCCTTTGACCCTCATCTTCACCCCTACCAACACAACTCGCACCCGTCTCCCTCATCCCCCTCTCCCCTTTATATTTGACTGAATGCGCTGAGGAAATGCAATCAGCGCTGCGTTGGATTATTGCATTTTAATTGTAGTTTAAAGTTGTGGAAAATTTGTTGTTGGTAGGGTTGATGTGGTTTGAGAACAAACTAAAACAAAGTTCAATTAAAACAATATTTTGCAAAGAGTTTATTAAAGAGCACAACGTTTGAATTAAGTAAACAAACACAAACACAAAACATATATTTCTATAATCTGAAAGTAAACAACAAGCAAACCATTGTCGGCTCAAATTTTTGGCCAGAAGCGAAATTTGATTTTTATGCTTATTTTTCAGCTGGGCTCGTATATCAAGTGATAAATTAAGAACGGCCAGTGACTAGTATAAAGTCAGAAAATCATTTCTAAATCTGAAATATCACAGAAAGTGACAGTCAAATGGCAACTCATCAACACAAATGAAGAATGCCTGCTGAGGTGAGGTGAGTCCTTCAGCAGCAATGAGAGAGTAGACTTGACTCTTCTAGCTGCAGGACTTTAGGCAACTTGAACTGTCAGTTATCTACATATTTCCAGCTTAATTACATAAATTTTCTCATCTATTATTCAGCTCTTACTCGGTTTAAGTTATTCGGCCTGCAATCATGACATCAATATATCCTCGACTTTAGACAAGCTTTGCATATTTCGAATTTAAAGACATTCTGGCAATGACAGGCAACTACTTCATTAAAAAAAAAATGCTCAATTTTGATGTGGAGAAGACAAACGAAACGAACCAAACAAATAACAATAGAAATACAATATGCAACTCGTCATCATTAGTAAAACTCAACCAGTCCAAATCCAAATGTCGTGTTCAATTTCGGCAAACAGATTTCATATTCTTTTTAATTGCGCCTTGTCCATCAACAATAACAATAACGACTGCAACTGCAACGAGAACTGTCTGTGCCTCAACAATTTTCCCATTAGTTGCAGTTGCAAGGCGGCTCAAATTGAAATAGAAAACTTTTCATGCAAAATATATTTTTGCAGCTCATTTGAATGCTAATAATAAAATATTCAGCTTAGCAACAAACTTTGGGAATTCTTAAATAATTTTCAATGATTGATACTTTTATTGTTACTAATACCGTTGGCTTAGACTATCTCAAAGAGTTGCTCCTGGTTTTGTTTTTTTCTTTTTTCGTTTTTAAGTTTAAAACAACTATGCATAAACTGCAAATTAAAAGTGCTACTCAATTTTAGTTCTCGGGCAATTCAAATACAAATTCAAAAATGCTCTTTAACATTTGTTTGGAATATCCTCAGCAGTATTTTTGTGGGTGGATATGTTATTTTGCACTCTCTTCAATAAGGCAACACCCACTCACCACATACATATACATATACGTAAGTGGGATGCGATAAATCAGTTACTCAAACTTGACCAAATACACAACAATCACTATAACAATAACAATAACAAATACACATTGTATACGAATACGAATATTCAAGCATAAATTGCAAACAATAAATAACCGAAAAATTGTAAATAAAGTTGCTTGCAAATATTTCATAAAGTAACAATCAGCTTAGGGCCAAGGAGCAGATGCCAAAAAGCAGCAGCAGCAGCAGCAGCAACAACAATAACAACAACAACAACTATAAGGCTGGAAGCAACGGTAAGGCACCGACACCAAGCGAGGCCAAAAGTATTTGCGACCAACTTAACACACATATACACAATAACAGGCACACACACACACACACACATATATATAAGCTGAATGCAGCACACCCGCTTATGCTGCTCCTGCTTCACCCACCCCTGCCCACCACCACCCGCACCACACCGCACCGCACCTTATTCAGGCGGCTCTCGTATCGAAAAACGAAAAGTAAAAAGGCCCGCAGCAAATGTTGCAAGCAGCGCCAGATAAGCGGGCGAGCCAACGACTGAGGTTGAAACTGAGACTGCGGCTGCGGCTGCGGCTGCCGCTGCGACTGCGTCTGGTGGCATCGACGCTGGCAGCGGCAACTTAACATTTTTGGTATGCAAACAAATTTTATACTTGGCCAATGTTTAAACTCTTCAATTGGCTAAAAGCGTTTTAAAGGTTTTTTTTATTATTATTTTGTGCTGTGTGCGCTATCTAAGTGTGGCACGATTATTGTTATTATTGTTGCTGCCGCTGCTGCCAGCTGCCATCCATATGAATAGCGGACGCGAACGTAAGTAGAATGTACGAGTATTAGCAAATGCATCAGAAGCTGCAGCAGCAGCAGCAGCAGCAACAGCAACTGCCTCAGGTA